CCTCTGGCCAACTCGCCTCTTACCTAACTTATTACCTACCTGCAGGTGACAGGACACCCCCTCCTCTTACCTACCTGCAGGTGACAGGACCCCCTCCTCTTACCTACCTGCAGGTGACAGGACACCCCCTCCTCTTACCTACCTGCAGGTGACAGGACCCCCTCCTCTTACCTACCTGCAGGTGACAGAACACCCTCTTCCCTTACCTACCTGCTGGGGATAGAACACCCCTCCTTTACCTACCTGCAGGTAACAGAACACCCCCTCCTCTTAACTACCTGCAGGTGACAGCACCCCTCCTCTTACCTACCTGCAGGTGACAGAACACCCCTCCTCTTAACTACCTGCAGGTGACAGGACACCCCCTCCTCTTACCTACCTGCAGGTGACAGCACCCCTCTTATTACCTACCTGCAGGTGACAGCACCCCTCCTCTTAACTACCTGCAGGTGACAGGACACCCCCTCCTCTTACCTACCTGCAGGTGACAGGACACCCCTCCTCTTAACTACCTGCAGGTGACAGGACACCCCCTCCCCTTACCAACCTGCAGGTGACAGCACCCCTCCTTCTTACCAACCTGCAGGTGACAGAACACCCCAACCTCTTACCTACCTGCAGGTGACAAGACACCCCCACCTCTTACCTATTTGCAGGTGACAGGACACCCCTCCTCTTACCTACCTGCAGGTGACAGGACACCCCTCCTCTTACCTACCTGCAGGTGACAGGACACCCCTCCTCTTACCTACCTGCAGGTGACAGGACACCCTCTCCCCTTACCTACCAGCAGGTGACAGCACCCCTCTTATTACCTACCTGCAGGTGACAGCACCCCTCCTCTTACCTACCTGCAGGTGACAGCACCCCACTCCTCTTACCTACCTGCAGGTGACAGCACCCCACTCCTCTTACCTACCTGCAGGTGACAGCACCCCTCCTCTTCCTACCTGCAGGTGACAGCACCCCTCTTATTACCTACCTGCAGGTGACAGCACCCCTCCTCTTACCTACCTGCAGGTGACAGCACCCCACTCCTCTTACCTACCTGCAGGTGACAGGACACCCCCTCCTCTTACCTACCTGCAGGTGACAGGACACCCCTCCTCTTAACTACCTGCAGGTGACAGGACACCCCCTCCCCTTACCAACCTGCAGGTGACAGCACCCCTCCTCTTACCAACCTGCAGGTGACAGAACACCCCAACCTCTTACCTACCTGCAGGTGACAAGACACCCCCACCTCTTACCTATTTGCAGGTGACAGGACACCCCTCCTCTTACCTACCTGCAGGTGACAGGACACCCCTCCTCTTACCTACCTGCAGGTGACAGGACACCCCTCCTCTTAACTACCTGCAGGTGACAGGACACCCTCTCCCCTTACCTACCAGCAGGTGACAGCACCCCTCTTATTACCTACCTGCAGGTGACAGCACCCCTCCTCTTACCTACCTGCAGGTGACAGCACCCCACTCCTCTTACCTACCTGCAGGTGACAGCACCCCACTCCTCTTACCTACCTGCAGGTGACAGCACCCCTCCTCTTACCTACCTGCAGGTGACAGCACCCCTCCTCTTACCTACCTGCAGGTGGCAGCACCCCACTCCTCTTACCTACCTGCAGGTGACAGGACACACCTCTCCAGTCTTGCCTACCCTTCAAGGCCCAACGCTTACATGGAGTCATTTCTGGTCTTGCAATCCATAACCCATCTGTAATCTTTGCTTTCATAGGATGTAGCACGTCTCCTCATTTACTCTCACTTTCCCCTGAAGTAGAGTCAGTTGTGGGCATGTCGTCCCCCCGACCCCCGCATAGATTCTGGGCTACCTATGGGGAAGGACCTCACCTGGCATGGTGGGCAGAGGGGGCAGCTGGTTTTCCCAGGGGCTGTGGCTTTCCTGGAAGGCCTGTCGGAGATGAGTCCCCGCTGTGTGCAGGCTGAGGGCAGGCCTTCTCTGTCCTGGCCTCCGTAGCCACCTTTCGATTATGACCGAGTGGTTCACCAGAGAGAGAGAAGGCTGTGCCATCTGAAAAAACCTAGGCTTGACTATGAGAGAAATGCTCACCTGTCCGAGTTCAAATAACAGACTCAGACAGACGTGTGGCGAAAACGAGCCCTTTAATACGTTCTTGCAGGAGCGGGTGTCGGACGGGCACATGGAGCAGGGATCACAGACTGTTTATCCCGAGGGTGCGAGTCCCTCCTCCGGCTCCTCATTGGCTGAGCACCTGGGTCACCTGTTCCCTCATAGGTCGCCTAGGTCTGCTCTCTCCTATTGGGCCATTTAAGAGGATGGGCTGAGGCTTTTTCCAGTTGCCTCCCCCCCCACACCCCCTAGTTGAGGCGGGCGCCCCTGGAGTTTCCTCCATGATGCTGGCCCACACCCACAGTTCTTTGTTCGTACATCCTCTCCCCTCCTCCCCACATTCTGTGTGCCCTGGGGAAACTCCGTGACCGCTTCCATCAAAAGCCGCCATGCTGGGGCGGACCACAGAGGCCCACTTCACACACAGGTTCATTATCTGGTTAAACGAAGCCCATCCTGCACCCGTGCCTTTGCTGAGTCACACTGGGTGTGCACCTGCCTCCCTCAGTGCGGGAGAGGGTGAGAGTGCGGGAGGGGTGAGCCCCGCAGGCCCGCGTGCCAGGCGCTCACTGCGGGAGGGTATTGGCGGCTCCGCCAGGCCCGCTCCAGCTGCCTCCTTCCTCTGCAGTACATCTTCGCAGACGCGTACGCCCAGTACCTCTGGATCACGTTCGACTTCTGCAACACCATCCGAGGCTTTTCCATCCCGTTCCGGGCAGCCGATCTCCTCCTGCACCCCAAGGCCTCCGACCTCCTCCTGGGCTTCGACAGGTCTCACCCCAACAAGCAGGTAAGAGAGTGTCCGGAACATAGCCGGGCGGGGCTCCGCCAGGTTCCTCCTCTGCCTCTGTCCTGTGGCCTGCGTGTCCTTTGAGTGACCTCCCTCGGCCCTTCCCTCCTCCGCCCTCAAGCTCAGCCTTTGTAGCTGTTGTGCTCTCCCTGGGGAAGGAATGCACCTGAGCCAGGGCGCACCTAGCCCCTGGCAGGCCCCATTCCTTAAGTCTGATGCCCTTCTCCGGGCGGGCGGGAACCTTTGTCAGCCTCAGAGAGCAGTGGGGGAAGCCTGGCGCCAGCTCTGCAGGGCCCGCCTGCCACGTTCCTGTTGTACCTTTTCTTCCCTCTACCTTACACACTGCTGTTGCCTGCCATGTACTTCATTGCCTACCACTAACATTCATCTTCTCTTAGTGTGCGTGTGTGCCTATGCACACAACATAAATGTGTGCGTTTTCCTCTCTTAATCCAAATTCGAGAGAGGGTGAGAGATGGGGAAAGAGAGCTGAGTAGCACTTATGTTTCATTGGCGAGTTGAGAAGATTGGCCTGGCATAACCCTGTGAGACCTGCAGATCCTGGACTCCATAGATCCAGGATTGGATCTATGATAAGTTTTGAATGACTTTGCTCAGAGCAAGCTTGGAACATTCCTTTTCCTTTGTAGGTTGTTTAGCCAAAACATGATCTGTTTACCTTCGCGTGCATAGGCGGAGCCTCAGTGTGGGCAGGGCCAGCTCACCAGTGTGGCTGGGTTATTGCTGTCTGTGGTCTCCTGCTTCTCACCACAGGGCTGTCAGGCCAGAGGGGCGCAGGGGTGCCTGGGGAGGGGGAGGGCTTTGGTGGGTTACTTGCTCACAGCGTACCCTCCCTGTGTGTTCAGCGATCCTCTGGTCCTTTCTGATCCTGTACTTGACCAGTGTCCTCTCCATCTCCTTCACGGCTGTGGCCGTTGCACAGTTTTTTTTTAAATTTTTATTTATTTATTTTAATCCTCACCTGAGGATGTTTTTCCATTGATTTTTAGAGAGAGTGGAAGAGAGAGGGAAAGACAGAGAGAAACATCAATGTGAGAGAAACACATCGATGGGTGGCCTCCTGCACGTGCCCTGACCAGGGCTTGGGTCGGGGAGGAGCCTGCAGTTGAGGTACATGCCCTTGACCAGAATCGAACCCGGGATCCTTAGGTCCGCAGGCTGATGCTGTATTTACTGAGCCAAACCGGCTGGGGCTGGTTGTATAGTTTTAAGGACTCTTCCCCAGGTGAGAAGTGCCAAGCATCGTCCTTTTGTTTTTACCATTATCTGAGGGCTAGTCTTGAGGAAATACAGTTTCTGATAATCCACAAATGGAAGACAAGTCCCAGTGACCTTCCTTGTCTGTGGAGACCTTAGTCACTATGGAGGAAACACAGGGGCGGAGAGGGGCGGAGGGCTCCCCTCCAGGCTGGTCTCCCTGGGAGTGACGCGCTGGCCATGACGGCCCGTGCTGTCCTCGCAGCAGCCAGCCTCTACTGCAGGTTTCCGTGGGTTTGGCAGAGCCATTCAGGTCCTGCTGCTTCTCCCCTCACGGCCACTCTTGTCACTTTGGTCTTTGCAGCTGTGGAAGTCGGACGATTTTGGCCAGACCTGGATCCTGATTCAGGAGCATGTGAAGTCCTTTTCTTGGTAAGTCGTGTCAGCGAAGAAAATGAATTCCATAATCTCCTTTTTCCAGTTCAGCTCCAGCAAAAGGGGGGGGGGGTGGCGGGGGTGAGGTGGGGGGCAAACCTCCCTCACCTGAAATGTGGAGCCTTTGGGCCAGCGGTGCATTCTCCAGATGGGGGAGTGTAGCAGGCGGTGCATTCTCCAGACGGGGGAGTGTAGCAGGCAGTGCATTTACCAGACGGGGAGTGTAGCAGGAGGTGCATTCTCCAGACGGGGGAGTGTAGCAGGCGGTGCATTCTCCAGATGGGGGAGTGTAGCAGGCGGTGCATTTACCAGACGGGGAGTGTAGCAGGAGGTGCATTCTCCAGACGGGGGAGTGTAGCAGGCGGTGCATTCTCCAGACGGGGAGTGTAGCAGGCGGAGGGGAGATGAGAGCAGAGGCTCTCTTGAGGCTTTCGCTCCTGCATCCTCAGTCCACCAGGGAATGTGGGGATCTTAGCGCTCTTGGTGGGTGGAGAGGTTTCTGAAGACATTCATTTTTAGAGCATCGCATCAGAAGTGGGGAATTTTCTCTATATAAAATCAATTCATTTGTTCATTCATAACATCGTTTTTTGAATGTCCACTGAATGTAAAATATGCTAAATATGCTTTAGGGCAGTGATGGTGAACCTTTTGAGCTTGGCGTGTCAGCATTTTGAAAAACCCTAACTTAACTCTGGTGCCGTGTCACATATAGAATTTTTTTTATATTTGCAACCATAGTAAAACAAAGACTTATATTTTTGATATTTATTTTATATATTTAAATGCCATTTAACAAAGAAATATCAACCAAAAAATGAGTTCGCGTGTCACCTCTGACACCCGTGTCATAGGTTCGCCATCACTGCTTTAGGGTGTGTGAAGTTGACTAATTTATGGATAAACTTGTTAAGGAGATTGTAGTTTAGGAGATACGGAAAGATTTTTTTAAAAACTTAAAAAAATTATTGATTGATTTTAGAGAGACAGAAAGAAACATCTATTTGTTGTCCCACTTTTTCATGCATTGGTTGGTTGATTCTTGTATGTGCCTGATGTGGATCGAACCTGGGATGACGCTCTAACCAGAGCTCCTGGCCAGGGTGGAAAGACCATTTTTGCACCTGCCACACATTAAGCAGCTCAGGAATCGCGGGCGTGGCATGAGCCGGTGGAGGAGGGGCCTGTTCTTTGCAGATGGGCGCTCACGGACAGCACTGGCTGCATGCAGCAGGTGGGGTGCGCTGTGGGGGTGCAGGAACAGAATGGCCAGAGTGGAGACGAGATGACACGGTGCTGGGGTGCAAAACGCTGAGTTTTATTTTGGGGCCGTGTGTTGGGTAAAGATGGGAGAGGAATTTGGACTGATTCTGAAAGCGATGGAAGCCTTTGTTGGTTGCTGAGAAGGAAGGTGAAATCAACAGACTTTTAAAAGTACAGTTGTTTCTAGTCCTAGTTGCTTCTGATCTTTTTCTGTTACAGGTTGTTGGATAAAAAATAGATATTTTTATTGATTTCAGAGAGGAAGGGAAAGGGAGAGAGAGATAGAAATATCAATGATGAGAGAGAATCATTGATTGGCTGCCTCCTACACGTCCCCCTCTTTCCCCCCAGTGATCGAGCCCACAACCTGGGCACATGGTCTGACCGAGAATTGAACCGCAACCTCCTGGTTCATAGGTTGACCTCAACCACTGAGCCACGCTGGCCGGGCAGGTTGTATATACCCTTGAATATATGTGCAGGCGGATATGTAGGACGGATTCGCAGGCACACGGCCCTGTTCACACACAGCAAGCTCGGTATCTCTCCAATACACTCTCGATCTTCCCCTCAAGATCCCATCCAGCCGGGATCCTCCCCATTTCAGTGTCTAGTTGCTCAGCCCCAAACTGAGTCATCGCTGAGTCCAAGTTTCTTTCCTACTTCCCATTCCGCCTACCAGGAGTCCCGAGGGCGCCACCTTCAGTGTGTGGCCGGGATTTCCTGCTCCCTGCTGGCTCCTGGGGGCCACCTGCTTCCCTGCGGCCCCAGCGAATGCTCAGCACAGAGCCACGCCCATCCTGTCAACGCGTCAGGTCCTGCTCCTCTGCTTCCAGCCCTGCCGTCCTCGTCCTCGTTTCTCTCGGGTAGATGCCAGGCACGCTCCCGCCACACGCGTGGCACCTGTTGTTCAGCTCTCGCTGAAGGTCGTCACTGCTTACTCCCTGACCTCAGCCAGGCGGCTGGGAACACACTCCCCAGGGCCCATGGCAATGGCAGCTGCTCTCCAGGTTCCCAGGCTGCAGTACCTGAGGTTTCTTCGCACAGCACTTAGAGCTGTTATTCTTATTGTCTGTCTTTCTCTCTTTAGTAGAATAAAAGCTACACAAGGGCAGGGACTTTTGTCAGTTTTGTGCATTGATATATCCCCAGTGAATGAAGCTTTGAAATTATAACTTTCGTGGAGATTGCCAAATTTTCTATAGAAAGACGGAAATTTCAGCAGCATAGAACTGTGCATCTCTCCAAGCCTATGTGTTAGGAAAGAAATACTATCTCAGTGTAGTTTCCATTTGCACTTTTCTGGTTATGAATGATTTTGGACCTCTTTTACTCTTCTTTAGGTTCATTTTTGTATATTTTTGGTGACATGTCTGTTCTGCCATTTGCCCTTTGACGATTGGATTCATCATTGTTTTATTATTGGTTACCAGGAGCTCTTTATATATTTGAGATTAGTTCTTTGTGATATGAGATAGATTGTGTGTATTTATATTTTCCAATTTGTCATTCCTTTTGCAGGAAACGTATTTATATGTTTTACGTTGACTATAAGTAGTAGAGCCACCTGTTACTACCCGCAAACAATGTGTTAAAATTTTTTTTTTTTTTAAATATTGGGCATGTGCCATCACTCTATCCAGAGCCAAACTGGCCAGGGCTGTCTTTTCACTTTTCGTTTTCTCTTCATTAACGTAGCGCCCAGCGGGAGGGGAGGTACTCTGTGCCTCTTTCACCAGGAGCCTGTGCGGAGTGTCTCTGAGTTGCATTGCTCCCCTAGGGCTTGCGGCCGGGCAGATGGGGCCCCAGGGAGCCTCGCCTGGAGCTGCCTTGGCAGGGAGGGCGGCTGTCTCCGGCCATTTGTTCTTTTCCCTGGGCAGAGGTTGTGGAGTCTCAGTGAGATTCCAGCCCTACCCTCGTCCGGTCCGAGCGCGCCCTCCATCAAGGAATGCCCGCAGAGCTTTTGGTGCATTAAGGGACAAGTAGCTCTTTCACTTGTTCGGGGAACCATGTGCTAGGAGGGAAAACCAGCTGGATTACTAAACAAGGATGCTTTGTGCTGGGAATTAGTGTGACATGCAGATAGTTCAGGGCGGCCTCATCTCAGTTTAGATAAGTGCGTGAGGGTGCCAGGGCATTTCAGGCCATTTGGAGGGCCCCCCTAGGGTTCCCCACAGTAAGTGCGAGTGTGATCTAACCCCGCAGAGAGCAATGGCAGCCTTGGAGCAGCAGGAGAGCTGGAAACCTACCTCCTGTGCTATCCAGAGCTGGAGGCTGGTAGGTGGGACAGGGGAGGAGCTGTGGGCGGGGCTGGATGCCCAGGGAGCAGCACTGAAGGGCTGTAAGTGGGGCCCAGGGAGCCGGTGAGGCCAGGCAAGGCTGGTGACTGCTGGGAGGTAGAGCAAGGCATGGGATTTCCAGATGAGGGCACACAGAAGAGGAGGCAGGTGTGAGTGAACGTAAGAAAGGGGAGGCCAGGACTGCAAAATGCAAACTTGCAACCTCGTAGGGCAGTGGTTCTCAACCTTCCTAACACTGCAACCCTTTAATACAGTTCCTCATGTTGTGGTGACCCCCAACCATAAAATTATTTTCGTTGCTACTTCATAACTGTAATGTTGCTACTGTTATGAATCGTCATGTAAATATCTGATATGCAGGATGTATTTTCATTGTTACAAATTGAACATAATTAAAGCATAGTGATGAATCACAAAAACAATATGTAATTATATATGTGTTTTCCGATGGTCTTAGGTGACCCCTGTGAAAGGTTCATTTGACCCCCTAAGGGGTTGCAACCCACAGGTTGGCGACCCACAGGTTGAGAACCGCTGTCATAGGGGGAGCGGCTCTCAGAAAGGGAGGTCCCCGTCGGGTTACAGACTGACCGGCCGGAAGCCACAGCTTTGTTTCTCCATCTGAACAGCAGAGGTGAGCTGTTCGCAGACTTCCTCTCTGCCTTTTTAAAAATATCCCGCAGCCTCTTGCTCATTTGCATATCGTCTGGAGCAGAGGATGTACTTTAATCAGTGCTTCTAATTGTGGAAGAGCAGGCCACCCCCTCACTGCACAGAGCCTGTGACGGCGGAGTGCCTCCCACATTAGGCCCAAACCCTGGCTTCTCCAGGGACTCTTCCCTCCCGGTTACAGGGCCAAAGGTCTTCCCTGTGCAAAGAGGCTCTTCCGTTCTTCTCTTCTTACCTCCTTCTCTCTTTCTCCCCAACTTTCCCTTCCTTTCCTTTCCCTTCCCTTCCCCCTTCCCTTATTCGTTCCTCATTCTTTCATTCTTTTTTCTTTTTCTGTTAATCCTTGCCAGAGGATATTTTTCCATTGATTTTTAGGGAGAGTAGAAGAGAGAAAGACAGAAATATCGATGTGAGAGAAACACATCGATTGGTTGCCTCCTGCACAAGCTCAGACCAGGCAGACCAGGGCCCGGGCCAGGGAGGAGCCTGCAACCCAGGTACGTGCCCTTGACTGGAATCAAACCCGGGATCCTTCTGTCCGCAGGCCGAGGCTCTATCCCCTGAGCCACACCGGCCAGGGCCATTCTCTTTTTCTTAGAATATGCTCTTGGCAGTGCATCTTGAAGCTTCGAGTTTGGTGCCCTAACCTTCATTATCTGAGCTCTGTGCACGTGGAGGAACTCAGGCCTCTGTGGGTGAGCTCTGCCTTCCTCACCTCTGCCCGGTGCGGGTCGGCCTGGCCTCGGGGGCGTGAGGAGCCTGGGGCGGGTCCGTCCCCTGGGCTGCAGCTTGGGCTGTATTTGGGAGAACAGCAGTGCAGGGGCGCTTCTCCAAGGCAGTTTGATCTCCTCCCTCTGCTGGTCCCCTTTTGGAGTAGCCCTGGGATGATGGCCTGTAGACGCAGTGCAGCGAGGATCAGTTCAGGTGGGAGCCCTGTGGGATAGAAAGAAAGAGAAGACATGGTTCGAGAGGCGTTTGTACTCTCTGGGAAGCTCAGAGAACTGCAGTGTGGGGCCCACCATACATTGTAACTGGTATATTCAGTGTCGAATGATACAGGAAGCAGTACTGTGTCCGGTAAGGGGACTGCTTCAGAGCCCATCCAACCAAAGCAGTTTCCTACGTTTGAACGCATATAAAATGAATTAAACCACTTGAAATCCGGTGCCGGGGAGACCCGGTGCCGGGGAGACACAGTGCCGGTCGGGAGTAGGAAGCCAGCATGGGGTAAGGCTTCTTAGAAGGGAGGCTTGAACTTGGCCCCCAGAAGATGAGGGAGACTGAGAGGTGCAGGTGAGGGTGTGGGAAGGCCTCCCTGCGGGGGGTGCAGAGCTGACAGAAGTACAGAAGTACGGGGGAGAGATGCGCCCCGTTTCTGAAGGTCAGTGTGCGCAGAGTTGTGAGGGAGACTCGCAGGGCAGGGCGCGCATCTCACTGGGGAACCAGCAGCAGCGGCCTGAGCAGGAGGAGGGGGAGGGGCCTGGGAAGGATGTGCCTGGCTGGTCCCACGCGGTTTCCTCCCGAGTTATCCTCCCGAGAACCCAGCACCTGGCAAACTCCTTCCCTCCGCCGAGGTTTGTCACCGAGGCCAGAAACCTGCTGACAGCCTCAAGCCGGACTTCTGGATCCCAACACGCCATCTTTTACTCTTCCTTTCCCCACGCTGCGAACGGGACCAGGAGCAGCCGAGGGGGAGGCTGGCAGCACTTGCGGTCCCAGCGGGTGGTGGCCGGCGTCCTGGCTGGCTGCCTGCTCCTGACACACTGGGAAAGGTGGTGACACTGTTGTTTCTTTCAGGGGGATTGATCCCTACGACAAGCCAAACACCATCTACGTGGAAAGGCACGAGCCCTCCGGGTACTCCACAGTTTTCCGAAGCACAGACTTCTTCCAGTCCCGGGAGAACCAGGAAGTGATCCTGGAGGCAGTGAGAGACTTCCAGCTTCGGGACAAGTACATGTTTGCCACCAAGGTGGTGGTGAGTTGAAGGTGCCGAGGAATGAGCTGCTCGGAGTGTCCCCTCTGAGGCTTGGCGTTCTGTGGTCAGCGGGTGGGGGCTGGCCTGGACAGTGCTGGCAGAGACGGACATGCCCGGAGGGTGTGGGAGGTCCCGGAGGTCGAGCGGTGCAGAAGCTCTGAGATTTGGTGGTTTTGCATGCATCCCAATGAAAAGAAATCAGAGAGGAGGGCGGAGTTCAGCGGCGTGTTTCTTTCATTCCACTGCCTGACTTCCTTTCCAGTGGTTCTGTTTCTTTGTTATGGGGTGAGGCCACAACATTAGTAACAAAGAAACAGAATTTCCGGAGGATGAGGCCCAGGAATCAGGATTTTAAAAAGCTTCCCAGGTGATTCTAATGTGCGGCCGAGGTTGAGAACCACTGCGTTCGGCGGCGTCCTCTGTGAGTTTTGGACCCGCGTGCAGTTACGTGGCTAACAGAGTGAGTCAGGGGCCGCTGAGAGTTAGTGCTCTAAGAAGAGCAGTAATGAAGCTTTCAGCTGTGAGTAAGTAGCTGCCCTCCCAGACTTTGGGAACATTTCCCCCGTGATTGGATGGGTTGGAGCCAGATGCTGAAATGGAGAGTTTGCTCATCTAACAGAGCTTAATTATTTAGCAGGACTTGCCTTGCAACTGTATCAAATTGTAAGTTGCAACTAAACTGTCCTGTGTCCGGGAGAGCACAGGCCCAGCCAAGAGCGCTGGCCTGCGTCCTGGGGGTATAAGCTCGCCTTCTTGATGGCAGCCAGCGGCCGGGACCTCGGCTCTGAGGCCCCTGGGAACTGGGAGGTGGCTCTGCTTCCTGTCGCTGGTACCCTCAGGGGCAAGTGAGATGTAATGTTTTCCTCCAGGTTCTCATTTATGTGATTGGCAGCTGGCCAGGCAGAAGCAGGTCAAAGCCCTTGGGATTCTGGGTGTAGAGAGGCCTCCCCAACAGGGAAATCAGGGAGGAAGGCTGGAACGAGGAGGGGAGATGTGGGCGGCTCAAGGCAGGAGGGCTTCCCACCACATACCTTGAGAAATGTTTTCTTTTTTAAAAAAAAATATATATTTTATTGATTTTTTACAGAGAGGAAGGGAGAGAGAGAGAGAGTCAGAAACATTGATGAGAGAGAAACATCGATCAGCTGCCTCCTGCACGCCCCCCACTGGAGATGTGCCCGCAACCAAGGTACATGCCCTTGACCGGAATCGAACCCGGGACCCTTCAGTCCACAGGCCGACGCTCTATCCACTGAGCCAAACTGGTTTCGGCTGTTTTCTTTTTTTAAATAGTACATTTTTACTGATTTCAGAGAGGAAGGGAGAGGGGGAGAGAGAGAGAGAGAGAAACATCCATGATGAGAGAGAATCATTGATCGGCTGCCTCCTGCAGTCCCCACACTGGGGATCCAGCCGGCAACCTGGGCATGAGCCCTGACCAGGACTTGAACCTTGGCCTCCTGGTTCATAGGTCGACACTCACCACTGAGCCATGCTGGTAGGACTTTGGAATTTATACATGTTTTTCTGGGAACTATTTTCTTATTCAGGTAATACACTTTACATTTTTAATAGGTCTATATTTCCTACTGGTCTCACACTGAGTACAAACTATTAACACGGTGTTTAGGGTGCCCCTGGCTTTTTTAAAACAAAGGACTTTTCACACTTGCTCAGTGATGGTTTGAATAAGTGTGTGTGTTGCTCAGAAGAGTCAGAAGTGACATGGTGTCTGTCAGCTTGCTCTCCACATGGTACTTACTGGGCAGCTGTGAGCACAGCTCGCCTACCGTGAGGAGACACGGGTGTGCTCCTTATTCTGTGGGAAGCTGGGGTCCACAGTGAACAGTAGTGAGCAGTCGAGGAGGAGGCAGCCAGCCCAGCCCTCCAGGGGGTCTGCTGGCCACGCATGTGATGATGGCCACATGAGGAGGGGCCTCCCTCTCAGAAGTGCACAAGCACAGAAGGCTCCTGTGCTGCTGTCCTGTTTGTGAATCATTGAGAACCTGCAGAGGGCAGCCCCTCCCTAGCAGAGTGATGAGTGCATCTGCACAAAACGTGTGCGCAGTGCTTCCGGGTTCCGGGGCCATTTAAACCCGTCCCGAGAGCAGCCCCAGTCCGACTCGGCCTCTCCTCTTGTAGTTAAACAGCGGCCTCGGGAGATGTAGTGGTCTCCTCTTAACTAGTGTTTTACACTCATTGTTGCGGTTCCAGCCACGGTTTCATATCCGTAAAACACAATGTGACGTGGTCAGCATCACGTGGAATACTCTATACTCTACCAAAAAAAAAAAAAAACCACGATATTTTAGCAAAATACCTTAACCAAAGAGAAGTATTAAAAGACTGAAAAATTGAATCAATGAAAATTCTCCCGTTCTTGGTACCAGTGAAAGCCTGTGAGTCAGGTGTCCTCATAACCTGCAGGGGGACGGGGGTGGAGGAGAATGTACGCCTGGTGTGTGTGCGCTCACCGTGGTGGTTTCGGCTGGAAGCTCTGCCCACCCATCTCAGCCTCGTCCCACGGCCCCTCCCCTCCTCTCTCCGCTTGAGCGGTGGTGGGCTCCATCCCTTCCCCAGCCCACGTCTCACATCACAGCGTTGTCCTCCTCCTCTCGCATCCGGGAGCGTCTGGGCTCCATTGCAGACCCGTCTGGGGGAACGCTGAGCGGACGCTGCGGAAAGCACATCTCTGCAGCGCACTCCCTGCTGAGCGTCAGCGCACTCCCTGCTGAGCGTCTCGGTGGAATTTAGGGCCCGACTCCTGTTTTGCATGAAGTTTGAGTGGTTGATGCAGCACCATTGATTGTCCTCCTCTTCCTCGGCAGCACCTCCCGGGCAGCCAGCAGCTGCCGTCCGTGCAGCTCTGGGTCTCCTTTGGCCGGAAGCCCATGCGAGCAGCCCAGTTTGTCACCAGACATCCCATTAATGTAAGTGGGTTCTTCAGGGCCGGGAGGAGGCATCACTGTCCCTGCAGGGCCAGGACAGGGTGCTGTGGGTGTCCTGTCGGGGACATCTGACCAGCCGCCCTGAGTCACTTTCCAGAAAGGTCTCTAGAGCCATTATGCTCTGGGCGGGGGTCGGGTTTCTTCTCCAGTGTTGGAAGTGCAGCTGAGCCGGAGCCTGCATTTGCTGTAAGTGGGAGAGGGCAGCGAGGGCAGAGGCCAGGGCCGGGCCGGTGCTGATGGACAGCAGCGCTTACCTAAGGCCCTGCTGGGTTACACACTCTGGGTTCAAAAAGGTGTCAGGTTCAGGTCCTGCCTTTCAGGTACAGAGGCTGAGAAGCCCACGGGGGAGCACAGGTAGTCAGAGGCTGGGGGTGTCGCTCGGAAAGGTCAGGTGGGCTGAGTTGTCAGAGAAGGGGCCGCAGGGGAAGCCGCCCCCTAAGGCCCTGACACTGGCTGTCGGCATGGAAGGCCAGGGCTCGGGGTGTCTGGTAGAAACACTGCTGGTCTTTGCTTCCTGCGGGCTCAGCTGCCGGCGGTCACCTTGGAGAAAAAGGAAAGGACGCTCATGGTAATCTAGATTGCGTTTGGTACTGATGGTAGGTCTTCGGGGAAAAGGAAGACGTTAACTAAAAGAGGTTTTTAGGTCACGTATGGCGCTCGTGGCCCATTTTCCAGTCAGAACCCTCTTCCAGCGGCCGAGCAGCCTCGGTCTCCAGAGGGAGGGGAGGCAGCCTTGTGCCGGGCTTGGGGCACGGTCACGCTCTGTGGGCGTCATTGCTCTAGCCAAGGGTGGGAACGCCTCCCCAGGGCCCGCAGAGGCTGCGAGATCGCCCTGCCAAGGCTTAGTGGTGACTTAATTAAATGTCTGACCAAGCACAGCAGGCTGGTTTTTAAGTTGGTAATTTTGGCCTGAGAACGATGCCAACATATTCAGATGCAGAAAGAGAAGGGCAGGAGCACGTATTTAAGCACCAGGTGCAGAAAGGGCTGGGACTTGGGAGAGAGAAGATCCCACCCCCGCTCCACTCATTGAGGGAGCGCCCAGGACATGCGTGGCTCACGCATTCTTTACTTTTCGTCCCCAAGGAGTATTACGTCGCAGATGCCTCTGAGGACCAGGTGTTTGTGTGTGTCAGTCACAGTGACAACCGCACTGACTTGTACATCTCGGAGGCGGAGGGGCTGCGGTTTTCCCTGTCCCTGGAGAACGTGCTCTACTACAGCCCGGCTGGGGCCGGCAGTGACACGCTGGTCAGGTAAGGACCCCGATCCTGCCGGCTCCTCAGATCCACGGGGCCCGCTCCTCAGATCCACAGGACCCAATTCTCAGATCCACGGGGCCCACTCCTCAGATCCACGGGACCCAATTCTCAGATCCACAGGACCCAATTCTCAGATCCACAGGACCCAATTCTCAGATCCACGGGGCCCACTCCTCAGATCCACAGGACCCAATTCTCAGATCCACAGGACCCAATTCTCAGATCCACGGGGGCCCGCTCCTCAGATCCACAGGACCCAATTCTCAGATCCACAGGACCCAATTCTCAGATCCACGGGGCCCACTCCTCAGATCCACGGGGCCCGCTCCTCAGATCCACAGGACCCAATTCTCAGATCCACGGGGCCCACTCCTCAGATCCACGGGACCCGCTTCTTAGAGTCACAGGACTGGCCTCTCATTGTTGGTTTTCGGCAATAGCTGCACATTTTCACTCAGTTGGGGGTGTTTTCAAAAACCCCACTCCTGGCTCCAGGTCCCAGAGATGACAGTTTGACTGGTTTGGGTGTGAGTCCCCAGGTGATTCTGGTGGCTGCCCGGGCTGAGCACCGCTGCTGTAGGCGACATTTAGTGTCTGAGCCACTGTCCGCCTCTCACTCAGGGTTCTTGTTCTGGTGCCTGGTTTTGTGTGAGGTATTGTTCTGTCTATGGAAGGACACTAACGTCATTGATCCTTTATCAGTAAATCACGCGGTGAGTTGATTGTTCTGCAATAACGGGGCTCCTGGGCTCCGGAAGGCCCTGGGGATGGGGGTTCTGTGCCGTGGTCGGGGGCACTGATTCCTGCGTGCCACCTTTGTCCTGTGACAACCAGACTTCTGGGAGATGTGCCACTGATAGGATCCCCCTCTGCTCTTGGGAAGTGTCCCCTGGCGAAGCTGATGACTGGTCTGCGTGGAGGTCTGGCTCTACAGCTGTGGCCCTGGGTAGAGGGCACGTCTCGCTGTCCACTGTCCCTCCAGGCTGGCAACTCATTTAGTCAGCAGTTCATTCAAGGCAAGGATGCTGCTGCCAAGAGCCAGACCGGCTTTAAGGACAGCAGTGAGGTCCCTGTGCCAGGGAACTTTCGTCCTCCTTAGGAGAAGACGGGACATAAACAGATACGTCGCATGCCTGGCCATGGTGAGTGCAGGCGAACAGGAGAGTTTCACACGGTATCATTTATGTCGAGGATCATGGAAGTCTGTTCCAGGAAGGTCATGTTAGCAGGTGCCTGAGTTATAGGAGGAGGGAGCCAGGCAGACACCTGAACTGAGCTGCGGCCACAGGGAATAGCAGGAACAGTGACTAACTTTAGAAATAGTGAGGAGGCCAGGGAGGCGCAAACTGAAGGAGGGAGAGAGAATCCAAGAGGATCAGAGGGAGCAGGGCCTTAAAGGGGATGGAAGACATTTAATTTTTCCTTCTTAGTAGAAGGCAGAGTTTTGAGCAGAAGACAGACGTTATCTTTACCATTTAAAAATTGTGAATTGCATTATATAAAGAAAAGTGCACTCAACAAAAGTGGACAGTATTGTAAATAATTTTAAGTGACCACTCATGTAACTTGTATTTTACTTTTTTAATTTTTTAAAAAATATGATTTTTTTACAGAGAGGAAGGGAGAGGGATAGAGAGTTAGAAACATCGATTAGAAACATCGATGAGAGAGAAAGATTGATCAGCTGCCTCCTGCACACCCCCCACTGGGGATGTGCCCGCAAACAAGGTACACGCCCCCGACCGGAATCGAACCTGGGACCCTCTAGCCACTGAGCCAAACTGGTCAGGGCGTATTTTACTTTTAATTAAAAACTTTATTTGAAAAAATTTTAAATGACAGAAGAATATGGAGCCTTCGTAAATGTGCATGTCACCCTTTAGTGGGGCCGTGCTAATCTCGGTAATTCCAGTTGTAGCGCATCTGCTGCTGAAGTGACTTCTCTTCTAAAAAAGCCAAACTCACTGCTGCCTGGAATCAGACCAGTGGAGGCGGTGAGAGTGCGAGCCAGAGTCATTGGGAAATGCTGCAGAGACCCAGGCAGTGGAGGCGGCCGTGGGAGGACCAGGCCAGTGGAGGCGGCCGTGGGTGGACCAGGCCAGTGGAGGCGGCCGTGGGTGGACCAGGCCAGCAGAGGCGGTTATGGGTGACCAGGCAGGTGGAGGCGGCCGTGGGAGGACCAGGCCAGCAGAGGCGGTTATGGGTGACCAGGCCAGTGGAGGCGGCCGTGGGAGGACCAGGCCAGTGGAGGCGGCCGTGGGAGGACCAGGCCAGTGGAGGCGGCCGTGGGAGGACCAGGCCAGTGGAGGCGGCCGTGGGTGGACCAGGCCAGCGGAGGCGGTTGTGGGTGGACCAGGCCAGCGGAGGCGGCCATGGGTGGACCAGGCCAGTAGAGGTGGTTGTGGGTGACCAGGCCAGTGGAGGCGGCCGTGGGTGGACCAGGCCAGTAGAGGTGGTTGTGGGTGACCAGGCCAGTGGAGGCGGCCGTGGGTGGACCAGGCCAGTGGAGGCGGTTGTGGATGGACCAGGCCAGTGGAGGCGGCCGTGGGTGGACCAGGCCAGTGGAGGTGGTTGTGGGTGACCAGGCCAGTGGAGGCTGCTGTGGGAGGACCAGGCCAGTGGAGGTGGCTATGGGTGACCAGGCCAGGGCAGTGCTGATAATAGGAACGGTTACATTTTGACCATTTGCTAATAGGTTTGCTGACAGATTGGATGAGAGAAGGAGGAGTCCAGAGGCCACCAATGCGACTGGATTGTGCAACTTAACATGGTTAAACTTTATGTTCTTTACAATAGAAACATACTAAGAAGCAGCACGTCAAGCCCCCGCTGTTCATATTCTCTGTAGGTACTTTGCGAGTGAGCCATTTGCTGACTTCCACCGCGTGGAAGGGCTGCAGGGCGTCTACATCGCCACCCTGGTGAATGGCTCCCTGAAGGAGGAGAACATGAGATCAGTCATCACCTTTGACAAAGGGGGCACCTGGGAGTTTCTCCAGGCCCCGGCTGTCACGGGATATGGAGAAAAAATCGATTGCGAGGTACGGATGCTTTCATCTCATTTGGCTTTTTAATACATAGCTTTATCTGTAGTTCTCCACGCACAGTTCCCAAACTCTGTACGAGGCACACTGAGGTGCATTGTGGACACACAGGGCACCGCGGACAGTGTGAGCTTAGGAGGCTGTGTGATCCTGGACAGCTGGCTGCTGGCCCCTGTGCGCTCCTGTCTCCACCTTCTCACACTGCACTTCTCTGGGTGACATCATCTGTCTGTGAAACTGAGTTCTCAGCAGTGGAGGTGATGGAAGGGAGGTGAGGAAATGGAGTGGGGGCCTGTGACTCCAGGGTGAGAGCCAGCAGGGCCACACAGCCCATTATGAAGTGCCTGTGGGTGTTTAAGGATGAAATGAAATCTTGGTTTTGCTTTTGCTGTTTCTGCACAGCACTGCTACTCGCTCTGCTCTGAGCTCTGAGGACGTGTGTGCTCTTGGCATGTCTTCTGGCCGATACGTGCTATCAGACATGACCGAGGCACCACTGTGCTTCGCACCAGGAACATCTGTCAACCTCTCCCACTGGAAGCTATTTCTATAGAATTTCTTTTAAAATCCCTCTCTGCATATAATTTAGGATTGTCTGATTTCATCTGTCTGTGGCTTCATCAGGAAAGTTAAGGGTACTGAAATGCAGTATTTGGGCCCATTAAATAGTCCCGTATACCAAGCAACTCCTTTCTTTTCCCGCAAAAGAACAGGTATGGTCCCTGACTCTATCCAATCACCACATCTCTGTGTTCATCACACATACAGGACCAGGGTGTGAAGTAGGTGGACAGAGGGACTCAGATAAAAACAAGTAGTACTGATTTTTGGAGAAACGATAACATTTTAGTGAGACAATTACTTGGTCTTTTGGGTTATTGAATTTTGTTTGTCTGTGGTTAAATATATACAGTATCTGTGGTTCTTGGGAAAACTTCTTTGGACATTTTGCTCGAAAATGTACTCCCCGATTTATCTTCTGATTTGCACCAACTCTTGACTGAACACATCCCATCGGTACATGCAGACCCTCATTTTCTCAGCAGTGTCTTCGAGATCTCTGAGCTGGGCCTGAGTCAGATGTGCATGGCGGCAGGGTTTTCCAGCTTGTGGCGGGGGCTCAGCCTGGTTATATAGAATTAATGGCATTGTCAAGAGTCAGCTTCCTGTGTCATGGACTGATCACTGTACAAATGAACTGCATGACAGCTCCTCGGCTTTTAGTCTCTCCTGATTTTAGGTGGTGAAAGACAAGGAGAAAGATGGGAGAGGTTGGCAGATATTTCTTTGGGACCCAACTCGATTTGCTATAGTTTTCACTTGCCAAACTGTGATGCTGGCCAGATGGATGTTTGTTAGTGATCCTTTTAGTATAAAAAATTGATGTATCTAGCAAACCAGGTCACCGTTGTTACCTGTCCGTAAGCACCCACAGGGTGAGCCTGTGCAGGACACATCTGAAACCATTTCTGGCCAAGAGTCAGGCACGCCCCTACGCAGAGGCCTTGCCTGCAGAACCAACCTGCAGCCTAAGTGATGCAGGTCAGTTTGAACAACTTGAAGTCTCCGGTGAACCCCTGTAGACGTGTTTGGTACAGATGTGGCATTCTTGAAACGTTTCCTGTGGCTCCTTCGGGGCCTCGACTCGTGCTGTGTCCCGGGACTCACATGGAGAATCCCTGGGGACTGTGGAGAGATGGGTAGCTCTCCGTCTCCTTGAGCTGATGCTGATTTCTGGTTGCTGTTTTGCTGAGTCCCAGCGGAGTTTTTTTAGCACTTTTCTCTTTCTCTGATGGGAGGCATCGGCGCAGTGTGGGGCCAGCGGCTGGGACTGCTTTCCTTTGGGCCTGGCCCCTTCCTCTGCCTCAGGCTGCAATGCCCACTCACGGGCTTCAGCGTCTGGGGGAGACGTAGGCTTCGCACCACTTGCTGACAGAGCCTGGAACTTGTGTTTGTAGCTGTCCCAGGGCTGTTCCCTGCACCTGGCCCAGCGGCTCAGCCAGCTGCTCAGCCTCCAGCTGCGGAGGATGCCCATCCTGTCCAAGGAGTCGGCTCCTGGTCTCATTATTGCCACCGGTAAGTGTGCTCTGCCTGTTCTTACCGGGTAAGCCGTTTCTCACGTGCAGCCAACTGCATGGTGGCCACCCACCTCTGCCGCAGTAACTGCTGTTCCGTGGTTTTAAGACATACTTAGTTGCTGCATCCTACTCAGAATTTCTAGTTGGACAAGGTGTTGATTACCTGACATATTCTTGAATAAAAAGTCATTGTTCCTCTTGTGTTTCAGGTTCAGTGGGAAAGAACTTGGCCAGCAAGATGAGCGTGTATGTCTCCAGCAGTGCGGGCGCCCGGTGGCGAGAGGTCAGGCCACCTCGGGTCTTGTGTGAGCATGTGCACTGAGCCAGTATTTCAGGAACGCACATGCTTGTGGTGCAGGCACCCATCTTAACTATGATTATAAACAAGCACCTGGAGCCACACACAGGGTCCGCTGCACTGATCTGTATGCACACCTTGTGGTATGCGCTTGTGATTCTGCAAAAATGCTACTTTGAATCAAAAACAGACTTAAAGAAATAAATGTTCTAAGGTTATAAGTTCCATGAGCACAAGGCAATGTCCGTTTTGCTCACTTTAAAAAATATATTTTTATTGATTTCAGAGAGGAAGGGAGAGGGAGAGAGAGAAACATCAATGATGAGAGAATCATTGATTGGCTGCCTCTTGCACACCCCCACACGGGGGATGGAGCCCACAACCCGGGAATGTGCCCTTGACTGGAATCAACCCAGGACCCTTCAGTCCACAGGCCGATGCTCTATCCACTGAGCCAAACCAGCCAGGGCTGCTCACTTTTTTGTCCCTGGGGCCTGGTAGCGTCTGGCAGGTGTGGGTGTTCAGTATATATCGGCTGATCATTAGTAAACGATCATATAGTCGTCGTGGTGCCAGGCCGGAGCCTCGCGATTTATTACTCTTGTGTATCATTGACGTTGAAATGAAGCCTCCTCTCTGAGCTGTGATCTGCAGTTGCTTTCTTCACATTCTGTGAAGAAGACGGCTTTTGCCTTAGGCTTGTGTAATTAACGTGTGTCCTCGGGTGCTCCTTATACCAGTTCGGAGGGTACAGCTAGTTCTCTAGTCCTTGGACATTAGGGAATCCCCAAACTTGTAAAAGGAAAGTTCTTCACCAGCCTGCCTGCCTCAAGGGCCAGGGGAGTGCCTCTGCTCTCGTCTGGGGGCGGGGCGGGGTAGCTTTCTGAGGCCCTGCTGCACGTGGGGTAGGGAGGGAGGGCAGCCCTCAGAACTCAGCCAAAACCTTGGTCAGAGCGCCTCCTGCAGGCTGAGTGTGATGTCCTGAGGTAGGTGGGGTCTCAGAAGAGCTCACGCATAGGTCCTGTCCTCATGCCGCTGCTTATCGGGAATGTTGTGTGCACTTCCATATGTAGATATGCAATCCTATGTAATAAAAGGCCAATATGCAAATCGACAGAACAGCAGAACAACCGGTCGCTATGACACGCACTGACCACCAGGGGGCAGATGCTCAATGCAGGAGCTGCCCCCTGGGGGTCAGTGCACTCCCACAGGGGGAGCGCTGCTCAGCCAGAAGACAGGCTCATGGCTGGTGAGCGCAGTAGCGGTGGCAGGAACCTCTCCTGCCTCCACGGCAGCGCTAAGGAGCAGCAAGCTAATCAGTAGGGAGCAGCGAGCAGGTGGGTGGTAAGGTGCGAGGGGTCCCGGGCTGTGAGAGGGTGCAGGCAGGGCTGAGGGACCGCCCCCCCCCGCCCCCAGTGCATGAATTTTGTGCACTGGGCCTCTAGTATATAGATTGTCATAAAGCCCCACATTGCTTGGCTTTTCACAGTTACAGAGAACTGTCACATACCTCACCTCTAGCCAATAGGTTGGACACCCAGACACTGTCTCTGTGTGTGTGTGTGTGCACGTGCATGTGCATGTGCACTTGGGGGCCTCCATGTGTGTATGCATGTGCACTTGTGTGCTTCTGTGTGCTTTCATGTGTATGCATGTGCGCTTGTGTGCCTTCATGTATACATGTGTGCTTGTGTGCTTTCGTGTGTGTGCCTCTGTGTGCCTCCATGTGTGGCATGTGCGCTGTGTCTCCGTGTGTGTGGCCTCTATATGTATGCATGTGCACTTGTGTGCCTCCATGTGTGTATGCATGTGCACTTGTGTGATTCTGTGTGTGCTTTCGTGTATATATATACATGTGTGCTTGTGTGCTTCCATGTGTGTGTCTGTGTGCCTCCGTGTGTGTGCATGTGCGCTGTGTCTCCGTGTGTGCGGCCTCTATATGTATGCATATGCACTTGTGTTATTCTGTGTGTGCTTTCGTGTGTGTGCATGTGTGCTTGTGTGCTTTCGTGTATACATGCATGTGTGCTTTGTGCTTCCATGTGTGTGCCTGTGTGCCTCCGTGTGTGCTTATGTGCTTCCATGTGTGTGTGCATGTGCACTTGTGTGCCTCTGTGTGTGTGCATGTGCACTGTGTCTCCATGTGTGTGGCCTCTGTATGTATGCATGTATACTTGTGTGCCTCTGTGTGTGTGCCTCTGCATGTGTGCACACATGTGGCAAGTAAGCCTCTTGGTGTGCATGTGCATGTGTGCTGTGTACGTGTGTGCATGCACATGCATGTGTCTCTGTGTGTGGCATACACGTGTGTGTGTTGTGTGCCGATTCTGCCCGTCACTCCCCGCAGTGGTGTCAGCGCTGTCCTCTCCTTACAGGCGCTGCCCGGCCCTCACTACTACACCTGGGGAGACCACGGCGGCATCCTCGTGGCCATCGCCAGGGCATGGAGACCAATGAGCTGAAGTAAGTGTCTGATGAAGCTTGTCCTTTAACCCCACTGTCCTCCCAGAGCATCCAAGTCTGGTGATAACGGGCCTGTCTCTGCCGCCTTGGGTGTGACAGCACAATTGTGATGTGAGGAAACCACTGAGCTTCGCTTTCCACACGATAGGAGTGATCACCTGCCCTTCCCAGCTCCCGGGCGCCATGAGGAATAATGAGATAATTTTATTGATTTGAGACGGTACAGCTCCATTTAAATACAAGTCACTCGTGATTTAACAGTAAACTACCGCTCGTCACATTGTTTTCCATTGCCCTGCGTGTTACACACAGACATTTACTCGTGTAGCCACTAACAGTAAGTAACCACGATACGTGAGTAATGATTTCAGGGTTCATGCAGATTGGTAGCCAGTTGACTTTTGCTGTCATCCAATGGTTTTAGAGGGGACAATGGGGTAATCACATCATCTTACAGATGGGAGACCGAGCTCAGCAACACAAAGGGACTTGCCCAGCGTCTCCCGTTCGTTAGCGACAGGGAGACTGGCACTCGGGTCTTTAAATTATGTCTGCGCTCCTTTCAACATGTTGCTCAGAAAAGCAACAATGTCGGGAGTTTGAAACTTCTGCCGCCTGAAGTCTGATTTTATCAAAACCAGTCCTTTGATGGCTTTTGTCCCTTAGGACAGAGTGAATTCTGTTAGCATTAGGTCGGGGAAACGGGCCTCACTGCTCCCTGCTGTGAGGAGAGCCACGCGGTGAATCCTGGGAGCGATGGAGGGCGTCGTTGCCTGTCATGCTCAGTGCAGGAGGAAAGCCTGCAGAAGCAGGGCCGGCACTGAGAGGGGCAGATGGTTTGCAGAAGGGATCTTAGCAGATGGTTCCCCTGCGGTGAATTTGACGTGTGCCGAGCAGCCCGGCCTTGGAGCAGGGAGAAGCCGGGTCCCAGTGCCTGGCGTGGCCCACACGGTACCGGGCCGTGGGCACTGCCCACCGAGGGCTGTGTGTGCGGCACTTGGTATTTACATTCGGGTGGCATTGGCTCAGATGAGGCAGCCAGAGCACACTTCCCACTCAAAGCTCCATGCGTTTACCTTATTGATCCCATCTCACCCATCAGCCAGCACTGATCCTGTGAGGCAGCGTGTCCAGTGACCAGTAGGCTGTTTCCCCATCTCTGAAGGAGTTCCTACTGGGTGTGGTGTTGGGCAGCGACTGAGAGAAACAGAGTAGGGACATAGTCTGGCTTCCTAGGAACCCATTTATTCTTCCCATGGCCGGCAGACCGTGGTCGGTGCCTGGTTTTCCGAGTGTAGCTTCTACAGGTTCCATTTGCAAGCTGGCTTCTCCGAGTGGTCATGAGACTCCTGTCCCCACCTCCTGCCGGGGCTCAGGGAGCAGGGTCCTGGCGGCACCAGCTGGTGCTAGATGTGACCAGGAAAACCTGTGGCCGGGCCCCGCTGCCTCCCGGACACTTAGAAATGACTGGCTGTGGACTGTGGGGACCACGGACACTGTAGCATTGTTCTGTGTGGACAGGCCGTTTGGAGTGTCAGTGAGTATGATGTAGGGATTTGCAAATATGATGCCTCTGTTGATAAGTGCACGTGTCCCAAATATCAGTCTGAACTTGGCCCGACTCTGTGTGGCCACCTGGCACTGACTCGGTCTGTTGCTCACAGTTTTTTTGCTTCTCCCGCGGCTCTGCTTTTGCCCTGGTGCTGCGTGCTGGCAGCTTCCTCAGATGAGATGCAGGAGGTAACACTGCAGTCAGTTCACATCCTCGGACACATCGCCGTCCCAGGCGTGTGCAAAGGCTGCTGGGCCGTTCTGGATGCCAGGGGCGTCTGAGGCTCCAGGACTCGAGCCGGGCCTCCTCCCAGCCACGGCTCGCTCCCGAGTTTCGGAGCATTTATTGGCCGTCTCATTAATTTCCCATTGATCACCAACTGACTCCTTTTGGCAATTCCTTTTAATTATGTGTCCAATTCCTTATTCATTTGCACAAGGAATCCCGTGACCGTGATGGTCAGCAGTCAGGGCCCGAGCTGGAACGGGGGCATATTCTGTTAGGCAGAATCTCAGGTCAGTTACCCCAGCATCTGTTAACATCTGTAATGAACCGGGTGTTCTAGGTCCCAAGGGTACAAAGGTGAGTGAGGCACCGTTTGGGAATTTCCTGTGTCCACTGTGAGTCTGTTACGTTTTGAGCCAGCTGGATGGAGAAAGAGGCTAGATGAAGGGAATGTGTGTTTTTTAAAAATATTTTTATTGATTTCAGAGAGGAAGGGAGAGGGAGAGATAGAAACATCAAAGATGAGAGAATCATGGATCGGCTGCCTCCTGCATGCCCCCTACTGAGGGTCGAGCCCACAACCCGGGCCTGTGCCCTGACCGGGAATCGAGCCGTGACCTCCTGGTTCATAGGTCGATGCTCAGCCCTGCGCCCCGCCGGCCGGGCAGGGAGGGCCTGCTTTGAAGGGAGCTTTCTGACCCCAAGCCTCGGAGGAAGCAGAGTCTCATCAGTAACTCACAGGTTCAGTGGGGACACCGAGTAAAGCGGGCTTTGCGTTGTTCTTTTAAATTATCCGTGTCTGTCTCTTCCTGGGGAGCACAGATAACTCAGAGTGACTATTACGTGTTTCAGCTTCTGCCTCGGTTCTTCCCCGAGGCTGTGACCTTTGTCAATGGGAACTGAAATTGAGACAAAAAGTGGGTGCTTTGTTTTGCTCGTGTGGACGTGTCTGAACTGGTAAATCAGAGGTCGCTGGGGGTTCGCTCCCTCACCTGCGCAGCTCGCTGCCAGGACCAGCTCAGGCAGGCTTCCTGCTCGCAGGAGTCTGTGTGTCCGTGCACTGACCCCAAAGACCCAGACACAGGTGCTGACTCGGTCGTGAGGATGGAATTGGTGTCCATTCTGTGCCGGGCGCCTGGCAGGGTGATGGTACTATCAGTGGCTCCTAGAGCCCTTGTACTTGCACCAACGCAGCTCTCCTCTCAGCCGGCTTCCGATTTGGAAAGGGTCCCCCTGGGAGCCCAGAGAAGGCACCGGGAAGGCCACCCAGGAGCACGTTTGGACCTGAGTCCTGGAGGCAGCGCTGCAGCTCCAGGGTGTAGGAGGCAGCAGCTAACAGCTGACATGGTTACGCTTCCTGGGAGAGCTGCAGGGAGCCGCCTCGCCCTCCTCACCCTCACGTGGGTTCTCCGCCCCTGAGTTATAAAGGACAGTGTTCTTACCCTTCTCACTGTGGCTGGCATTCGCTGTATTACCTGTATAACTAGCCTTGCTCCCTTTGCAGATTTGATAGCCCTACCTTCCTTTTTGTTTTACGCAGCTCATTGACAAATGGGTCCAGCTCTGTGGGAACTAGACGTCTTATTTTGAGTTAGATCAAACCATCTATCAGTACACTTGGGATTTGTTTGTTTCCCTGGCAGTGAATGTATTTAACTGTGTGGTTCACGAAGATCCTCCTAAAAAATAATGCTGCGTGTCATTACCCTGCTTCAGAAGTGGTGCAGCCCTGGTTGGCGTGGCTCTGTGGGTTGGAGTGTTGTCCTGTACACCAATAGGCGACGGGTTCGATTCCTGGTGAGGGCACATACCCAGGTCATGGGTTTGATCTCTGGTCAGGGTGCGTACAGGAGGCAGCTGATCGATGTTTCTCTCTCACATGGATGTTTTGATGCGATCTCTCTCTCTCTCTCTCCCTACTTTTATTGTCTCTAAAATCAATGAAAGTGCTAAAAGTGGTACTAAGGCTTGCTCTAGTTTAAGAGACTAAAGAGGTGTAACAGCCCAATGCAATGAGTAATCCTTGACTGAATCCTGAACTGGAGAAAGAAAGTAGCTACAATAATATGGAACCAAGGAAAAATAAACAGTCTATAAGTAACACCGAGTTGGTGTGACTTTTCTTAGATATGATACTTGAGCACATCACACTGGTGCAGGAGACGGAAGGATTTAACTTATTGCCGTGTCTGCTTCAAAATGACCTCAAACCAAAAGCATATCTGCCAGATGAGAAGTTCTCCTCCTTAGACGATCTCCAGAGAGGAGATCAGTCAGTCCCGCTCCACATTCTTTGTGTTGCCCTGCAAACCGCTGAGTGGTTTAGCGCGTAGCCTTCTTGCAGAAGGATCAGTTCTAGTAATCTCAGTATGAGAGGAAGTGTGTGGATCAAATGATGCCATGAACAGGTTTATGTCAAGGATTAAGATCCTGAGTGAGTAAAACTGAAATCTCAGAAACAAGTGAAAAGTGGAAGGAAAAGTTTTACATATAATTGGGACCTAAGAAGAAGCTCAGTATCTTTGTGATTCTAATGAAAGATCTGAGTGGTTTCTCATGTTAAACGTTGCACCAGCTTCCTGGGTGATGAAGCAAATAGGCACATTTTCTCCTCCTCCTTTTCAACCCTCCTATATAATAAAAGCCTAATATGCAAGTTGTCCCCTCGACTGCTCACTATGAGGTGTGCTGACCACCAGGTGGTGGCATGGAACATGGCAGGCATCGGTGATGTGGTGCTAGCAGTGGGTGACAGTGGAGGTGCTGCTGGCTCCAATGGGCCCCGGCAAGAGCGGGACATCGGTGGGATGTGGAGCAGGTGAGCGGGTGGCACCAGGCCAAGGTGGATGCAGGAGGGGCCTGATTGCCCTGCAGCTGGTGACCAGCAGTGGCAGTGGGGGGCGGGGCCACTGCCCGGCTTCCAGGCACTGAGGGAGCCGGGCAGGAGCCCAATCGCCCCACAGATCACCCTGCAGATGGGGCCTGATGACTCAGGTGGAGGGGAGTGCATGGGGGCCTGGAGGCCCAGGTGCTGCCCAGGGCCCAGAGTTCAGCTGGCACCTGCCCTTCCATGCCAGATGCTCACGCTTCGATCATCAGTCAGGCTGAGGGACCACACCCATGTGCAAATTTCGTGCACCAGGCCTCTAGTATAAGTGATAATTTAAAATTATTACAGCCCGGCTGGCGTGGCCAGTGGTTGAGCATTGACCTATGAACTAGGAGGTCATGGTTCGATTCCAGCCAAGGGCACATGCCCAGGTTGTGGGCTAGATCCCCAGTGTGGGGCATGCAGGAGGCAGCCATTCAATGATTCTTTCATCATTGATGTTTCTATCTCTTTCTCCCTCTCCCTTCCTCTCTGAAATCAATAAAAATATATTAAAAAAGAAAAATAAGTAAAATTATTATAATTACTTGGATGCTCAGTTTCTCAAGGGCTCACTCTGTCATCCTGATGTAGTCTGCCTTGGAGACTTTCCTCCTCATATGCTTTCCCTCCAACTTTTTAATTTTTAGAGCCTCAGGAAAAGTTGAAAGAATTACATGAAGAACACTCACATAACTTCACCTAGGTCCACCAATTGCAAATTTTCTCAACTTCTGTCTATCACCCATCTATTTAGCCTGTCTGTCGATCCATCCGTATTTCTCCAGTACAGAAAGGTATTTGTCCATACAGTCAGAATGCCATTATCACATATAAGGAAATTCACATGAACTCAGTATTACTTGTAGACTATGTTTATTTTCCCTTGGTTCCATATTATAGCTACTTTCTTTTTCCAGTCCAGGACTCAGTCAAGGGTTACTCATGGCATTTGGCTGTTACACCTCTTAACCTATAGCAAGCCTTCTCCCTTTTCTGTTTGTTTTTCATGACCTTGATTTTTTTTTGAAGACTCCAGACCAGTTGTCATGTGGAGTGACTTGAATTCTGGATTTATTGCATAGAATAGCACATAGATGACTATTGTCCTTAGTACTTTATTGGAAGCACATAGTGTCAGGTTGTCTGCTATTAGTGATGCCAAGTTTGGTGAAGGTCGTGATTCTTACAAGATTCACTGTAAAATTTTTATCCGTGGGGAGCTCTCCTTGTCCTCACCGGTGGCTGTAAGTGGGCTTCTTGGGATGTCCTGAGAAAAAGAAGTTTCTGAGACTTGCATGGGAGAATGAGTGGCATTTATTTGTATTGAGTTAAATCCCTGGGTTTCCAAGGTCCCATTTCCCTTCTTCCTGCCATAGAGGAAGCGTAGCTGTGGCTTCAGCAGAGCTAGGATTAAAGCTGTTGCCCAGAGGTCCTGGAACATTCCATGTGTGCACAGAAGAGGGAAGGACAGCATCAGGCTGGCTTAGCTTGTGTTCCCCACTGCAGTCCATCTGTCCATTGCATGTGCAGTCTGCAGGGTCACACGGGCCAAGAGAGCGAACACCTGTTTCTAGGGGACTGTGTATTTCCAGGTTTTCGCAGGCTTGCAGTGGCCTTGCCTGCGTAGCCAATGATTTCTACTCCTGTGTTTGACTGACAGGCACCTTCCCTGTGTCACCCCGACTTCGCTTTGTTGAGCCCCTCCCCCAGTGGTCTGCAGGGAGTGGACCAGTAGTTCCCTGGGGAGTGTGAAATAGCAGCTCCTGGTGAAGATGCCCAGATGACGTGCCTGTAGGTTCTGGCCTTCCCTTCGCTCCTTTCCTGCTACTAATACCGAGCTAATTACAGTGCTTTCAGAGTTACATTTCCCTGTTTGTAATGAACGATTCACCTGTGGGTTGACATCTTTGCACCATGTGAACATTCGGTCCCCAACTCGCTTCACCCAGTGATTTGAGCGTCTAATGATGATCTTGTGGTCACACTGTGGGTTACAGAATGGTCAGTTTTCTCATTCTGTCATTGTTTTCAACATTTTTTTGGTAGCACTGAATATAAGAAATAAATTTCCTCCTCCCTTTCTCTCTCAGTGTTGGTGCCGTTTAGATCCCTGGGCTCTGTCTTCAGTCAGTGCATTCTCTGCCATCATCATTTTCTTCTTTATGTTCACACTAATGGCCCAGTGCATGGATTCAAGCACATTGAAAGGAAATTAATTAGAAGGTGGCTGGCAGGGCGGGACTGGGTGAGACGGGCCAGACACGCCCTGGAGTCAACCTCCCACGGTCCCTCCCTGGCCAGCTGCACCTGGGGCGGCACTACGGCCCAAAGGGCGTCTGCGGAGTAAGCAGGGTCCCTCCGGCAGGTGGGGTCCCTCAGCCTGGCCTGTGGGGATCAGGCTGAAACTGGGTCTCTGACATCCCCCGAAGGGGTCCCAGAGTACAAGAGGGCACTCTGCAAAGTTGCAGTCGTACAGGGTATGGAATGCAAACACAAGTGTGCAGCAAACCAGATTTGGGGCCAACAGTACCCCATCAACAACATAATGCAGGGCCAAAGGTGGAAACGTGTGGCCCTGCGAGGAATCGTGCTCCCTCCTCTCTGGTTCCGGGGTGTGTCACCCAAGAACTGCTACTGCCAAGTCACTGTAGCTTGGCAGCTCCTGTGCTGAGCATCTGCCCCCTGGTGGTCAGTGCACGTCATACCTTCCAGCCGGTCAGACAGTCGGATGGTCGCTTAGCCTTTTATATATATAGATTTTCCTAAATTCAGCCAGTGGAGCCCCATCGAGCTGGCTCTTGTGTCCTCTGTGCTGACTGCATTGTTGCTGAGCGCATCCTCGCTCTCTGGCACAGCCTTACACTCTCTGCTCTAGCCCAGGACCCGCTGCCTCTCCAGGAGCCCTGGCTCCTGTCACCGGTGAGTATTACCTGAGAGCCAGGCCCCTGCCCTGAGACACTAACTGCAAGGCTCCTCTCATTGCCTTTGGGCAGATACAGCACCAACGAGGGGGAGACCTGGCAGACCTCCGTCTTCTCCAGGAAGCCCGTGTTCGTGTACGGGCTCCTCACGGAGCCCGGTGAGAAGAGCACCGTCTTCACCATCTTTGGCTCCGACACAGAGAATGTGCACAGCTGGCTGATCCTCCAGGTCAACGCCACCGACGCCCTGGGTGAGCCCTGCCCCGCGGCCCTGCTGTGGGCGTGGTTACCAGCCAGAGCGCCCGCTGCAGTGCTCTGTCCTCAGGAGAGTTGGTGACCATTTGAATGAGAGGGGCACATACACAATATGTGAGTGAGAAATATACCAGATGTTTCTTAGGCAGTTATTATTATTTGAATCCTCACCCAATATTTTTCCATTGATGTCAGGGAGAGTGGAAGATAGTGGGAAAGACAGAGAGAAACATCGATGTGAGAGAAACACATCGATTGGTTGCCTCCTGCATGTGCCCTGACCAGGGCCCGGGCCAGGGAGGAGCCTGAAACTGAGGTACTTGCCCTTGACCAGAATCAAACCCGGGACCCTTTGGTCTGCAGGCCGACGCTCTATCCACTGAGCCAAACCGACTAGGGCTTGGGCAATTCTTAATGTGGGACCATGTGCTATTCTTTGATTCCTCATTTTGTGGTGGTCATTAGCACATAGTAGCTTTAGGTATACCTGTACTCAATATGAATGAATGAATGATTTAATAAATGAATGAATGAATGAATGGAAAACATTCCTTGAAATGAGCAGTTTGACAAATTTACCCGTCACTGCTGTGCGAAAGGCAGTGCCCATGGCTGCAGGCCCTCACCATGTCTGGGCCCTCAGCGTGATTTGCTAGTCTAGGCAGAGAGAAGCGACTCGTTCCTTCCCTGCTCCTTCCCTTTCCTCCTCCTCTGCTTGGCTAATGTTGTCTCAGCTGTGTGGGATGCCCCCATGCCTCCCATTCAGTGTCCACCAGATGAAAGCCTTTCATGTTTCAGGATCCAATGGGCTTGGCTGCCAGTATCCAGAACCCTTCGCCCCACCTCTGTGTCGGAGCATTGCATGCGACCTGAGTTATAAATGTGTCTCCCCTCGGTATCCATCGTTTCCCATCAGCTAGAGCATAAGGTCCTTAGAACAAGGCCTGTCCTCTGCGTCTTCACTCTTCATGTGCTGCACAGTCTGACCGCCTTCCAGCAGGGCTGAACACATACTTGCTGAATGGAATGGAATGGAATGGACAGCCCATCATTTTCAGGCAGCATCGAATCTGACCGAGGACACACATGTATAAGAACGACATGAAGTACCAATTTTGACGTAGGTTGGCTTCGGGATTCCTGTGGAACCCACTCTACCTAAATTTTGAGTGAATGCAGGCAGATTAAGTGATCGTCCAGGTTGGCTTATCTTTCTCAGCCGCCTTCCACTAAGACCCTGTACCTGCTAAGCAATGACAGAAAGATCTGCATTGCTCTCCGGCCATGCTGCCTCATGTGCCCGCACCAGTCCCGGAAGCAGGCAGGGCCCTGTGCTCCTGAAAGATGCCGTCTGCACGGACTCAGCCTTTTACCAGCTCCTTAGGAGATAGACCCCTCCGATAGCCAGACTCACCAGGACACACAGAGAGAGGACCAAATAAAGTCAGAAACAGAAGAGGTGAAGTGACAACTGACCCCAAGAAATACAAAGGAGAGTAAAAACATATTATGAATGACTTTATTCCAACAAACGGGACAACCTAGACGAAATGGACATATTCCTAGAAAAATGCAACCTTTCAAAACTCAGTCATGAAGAATCAGACGACCTGAATAGGCTGATAACTACTGATGAAATTGAAGCCGTAATCACAACACTCCCAGCAAACAAAAGCCCCGCTCTGGATGGATTCACAGGGGAGTTTTATTAAACATTCAAAGAGGAAAGAACAGCTATTCTCAAACTATCCCAGAAAATTCAAGAAGAAGGAACACTTCCAAGCTCTTTCTATGAGGCCAGAATTGCTGTAATTCCAAAATCAGATAAAGACACTAAAAAGAAAGAGCACTATAGGCCAGTATCTCTCATGAACATATATGGGAAAAGACAGAAACATCGGTGCATTAAAAAGGTCATACACCATGACCAAGTGGGACTTATTCCAGGGATGCAAGGCTGCTACAATATTTGCAAATCAATAAATGTAACACATCACATAAATAGATCGCAAGACAAAAATCACATGATCATATCAAATTGATGCAGAAAAAGCTTCGACAAAATCCAACACCCATTTTTTATAAAAACTCTCAGCAAAGTGGGAATAAAGGGATCATATCTAAACATAATAAAGGCCATATATGACAAACCCACAGCCAGCATCATACTCAATGGGCAAAAACTAAAACCATTTCCCCTAAGCACAGGAGCAAGACAGGGATGCCCACTTTCACCATTCTTGTTCAAAATAGTACTGGAAGTCCTAGCCATAGCGATCAGACAAAAAGAAGAAATAAAAGGCATCAAAATTGGAAAGGAGGAAGTAAAACTGTCATCATTCACAGATGTACATAGAAAAATCCATAAAAAATCACTAGATTTAATAAATTAATTTGGCAACATATCTGGATACAATATTAACACCCATAAATCTATGGCATTTTTACACACCAATAATGAGCTCTAAGAAAGAGAAACTAAAAAACCAAAAAAAAAAAAACTCCCATTCACCATTGCAATAAAAAAATTAAGATACTTAGGAATAAACGTAACCAAGGAGGTAAAAGACCTGTACTCGGAAAACTACAAGATGTTGAAAAAAGAGATAGAGGAAGATATAATAAGTGGAAGAATATACCGTGTTCATGGATTAGTAGAATCAACATCATTAAAATATCCATTCTACCCAAAGCAATCTATAGATTTAATGCAATTCCTATTAAAATACCGACATATTTCACAGACCTACAACAAACACTCCAAAAATTTATATGGACCCAAAAAAGACCCCAAAAAGACACAGCAATCTTGAGAAAGAAAAACAAAGTTGGAGGAATCACAATACCAGATATCAAGTTATACTACAAAGCCATTGTTCTCAAAACAGCCTGGTACTGGCACAAGAACAGGCACATAGACCAATAGAACAACAGAGAACCCAGGAATTGACTCAAGCCATTACACTCAATTAATATTTGACAAAGGAGGCAAGAGCACACAATGGAGTCAAGACAGTCTTTTCAGTAAATGGTGGTGGGAAAATTGGATAGATACATGCAAAAAAATGAAACTAGACCACCAACTTACACCATATACAAGAATAAACTCAAAATGAATAAAATACTTAAATGTAAGTTGTTAAACCATAAAAATCCTAGAAGAAATCATAGGCAGAAAAACCTCAGACATCTCTCATATCAATGTGTTTACAGATACATCTTCTAGATCAAAGGAAACTAAGGAGAAAATAAATGGGACAACATCAAAATAAAAAGCTTCTGCACAGAAACCATCAACAAAATGACGAGAGAGCTTACTGTATGGGATAATATATTTGCCAATGATACATCCAATAAGGGGTTAATCTCTAAAATATATAGGGAACTCATACAACTTGATAAAAGGATGACAATCCAATTGTAAAATGGGCAAAGAACTTAAATAGACAGTTCTCCAAACTGGACATACAGATGGCCTAGAGCAATGGTTCTCAACCTTCCTAATGCTGTGACCCTTTAATACAGTTCCTTATGTTGTGACCCCCAATTTCATTGTTACAAATTGAACATAATTAAAGCATAGTGATTAATCACAAAAACAATATGTAATTATATATGTGTTTTCAGATGGTCTTAGGCGACCCCTGTGAAAGGGTCGTTTGACCCCCAAAGGGGTCGTGACCCACAGGTTGAGAACCGCTGGCCTAGAGACATACGAAAAAATGCTCAAAGTCACTGATCATCTGAGAGATACAAATCAAAACAACAATGAGGTATCACCTCACACCTGTCAGAATGGCTACCATCAACAAATCCATAAACGACAAGTTCTGGCGAGGATGTGGAGAAAAGGGAACCCTAGTGCACTGCTGGTGGAAATGCAGACTGGTGCAGCCACTGTGGAAGACAGTATGGAGTTTCCTCCAAAATTAAAAATGGAACTGCCATTTGACCCAGTGATCCCACTTCTAGGACTATCCCAAGAAATCAGAAACACCAAACAGAAAGGATATATGCACCCCTGTGTTCATAGCAGCACAATTTACAATAGCTAAGATTTGGAAACAGCCTAAGTGCCCATCAGCAGATGAGTGTATAAAAAGCTATGGTGCATTTACACAATGGAATACTACGCTGCTGTAAAAAAGAAGGAACTCTTACCATTTGCAACAGCATGGAGGGACCTGGAGAGCATTATGCTGAGTGAAATAAGCCAGTCAGAGAAAGACAAGTATCACATGATCTCAGTCATATGTGGGATCTAATGAACCAAATAAACTGATGAATAAAATAGATCCAGAGACATAGAAGCATGGAGCACACTATTGATCCTCAGAAGGAAGGCTGGGGTGGGGCGGGTCTGGGGGTGGAAAGAGATCAACACAAGAACATGTATGCATATATGCATAACCCATGGACACAGACAATAGTATGGGGAAGGCCTAGGGTGGGGGCGGTTAGGACTAGAAGCGGTCAGTGGGGGGAAGGGGACATATGTAATACTTTCAACAATAAAGATGAAAGGAAACCTCTCTGGTCCCTGCTTCTGCAGGGAACTGTAGGCTGTGGGAGCTTCCACGGTGCGCAGGGATCTGAGTTGGCAGCGCAGGAGGTGGGAGCCTCACACACCTCCTCCCAGGACCAAAGTGGAATTAGAACTGAAGTACAGAACCATGGACCTGCATGCCAGCTGGAGATCAGCTGAACAGAAGTGCCGTGACCACGGGTAACAGAAGAAGCCGCTTGGAGACTGTGGGAACGCCCAGCAGCTGAGAACATGGAGGGCCATCTCAGGGAAGAGGTCCCCTGAGGAGCGGGGTCCTCACCCCCATGCTGGGCTCCCCAGCTGGAGCCCTGGTGCCGCAAAGAGGAAGGAGGCCGTGTAACGGGCTGTGATGCCGGCTGCCCGTGAGGCGCAGGGAGTCTGCTGGAAGCCCAGGCGCTCCCCAGAGGAGCAGGACTCGCACCCCAGGTGCCAGCAGGACAGCAGCCCGGCAGGGACCGAGCCGCACAGGAGAGAGGTGGCTTTCGGACGAGGGCCATCTTCTCTCACGCCCCGACCAGCCTCCCTCCACGCGCCCACACCTTCCTGTCATAACCTGAGGAACCCTGCTGGCCTCCCCAGGAGAACCCCCCGAGACCCCATCCACCACACAGTCCTCAGACCCCAGGGGTGGCGCTGACCTTGGGGAGGCCTGAGACCCAGACTGGAGCTGAGTTTGAATCCATGTTAACCTGTGAGCACCACTCGCCCCTCCTGGAGACTCATGGGAGCCTGTCTCACACAACTCGAGTGTCGTCGGAGCGGTTTCAGTGGCAGAGCCTGACCAGCAGCTGCAGGAGGGAGGCCGCAGGAGGAGCGGGGTCTTGGGGTGCCCTGGGTCTTTGGCCGACCTGCCCAGGCTCAGTGCTGGGAGAAGTCTACCTTACTCAGCTTGGCCCCTCCCATGCCCACCCTGGCCCAGCAGAGGCAGCCACCAACTGTGGAACAATCTGTGGCTCTTACCAGGTGGCCCAGGGCTGGTCACAGACTGCATCTCACCTTGACCTGCCTGGAGTCCCTCCCAAGAGGCCCCAGCACCAACACACCCAGTTGCGGGATTGAGACCTCCTGGGAGGGTCCTCTCAGCAGTCTGAGGTCAGCCCTGCCCACAGACCGGCAACAGCGATGAAAACTCAACCCTCCCGGAGGCCCACACAACCCAGGAGGAGCGATCCTGAGCCCCCAGCCCAGGTGACCAGGCCGACTGCGCCCCTGAGCCCAAGGACACCTGCTGCATCAGGCCCTCCCCAGACTGGGGTCATAGGGAGCCACCCAGTACTCAGAACCAAATCCGGAGGGCAGCCAAGTGGGCACAGAGAAGCGTGCCCCGATGAAGGAGCGGCAGGAGTCCCGGGGGAAGAATTAAGTTCCATGGAGGCAAACAACCTCCCAGAGACGGAGCTCAGAACAGTGGTCCTGAGGATGCTCGAGGGACGTGGGCAGAGGGTGAACGCAGGGACCTCCACAGAGTGCACATCAGGACGAAACCCTAGAGGCCCCGTCAGCGACAGGCCCCACAGGCTTGCTGCTCCCAGCTTCTCAGATGAACGTCTGTGTTTCGGGGGACCGCTTCCATTTGTGTGGGTGCCACCCCGCCTGACAGCAAGCTGGCCAGAGGCTTGGGGCAGCACTGGGGGTGGGGGTGGGGGGACATGGGCAGCGGGGCTGATGGGCGGCCGAGCGGGAACCCCCCGGGCAGCGGCTCATGCTGTCTCCCTCCGCAGGGGTCCCCTGCACAGAGAACGACTACAAGCTGTGGTCCCCGTCAGACGAGAGGGGCAGCCAGTGCCTGCTGGGCCACAAGACGGTCTTCAAGCGCCGGACGCCTCACGCCACGTGCTTCAACGGCGAAGACTTCGACAGGCCCGTGGTGGTGGCCAACTGCTCCTGCACCCGCGCGGACTACGAATGGTGGGTCCCCGTCCTGCCTGGACGGACCGTGCCGTCTTCCCAGCCGTGGGGGGTGCGGACGCTGGCCTGGCCCCTTTCCCTCAGGAAAGGAAGGAATCATGGGAAGCAGGTAGTGGTTAAGCAGCTTTCATGTGCAGCTGCTGGGCACTGTGTCCACAGCTCGCCCATTCAGCTTCAGTGACGTGTGGTGTGGGCGAAGCGTCCCCCCGGGAGCTGCAGCCTCATTCAGCAATGGGCACTCGGCTTGTTTCCGTGTGGGCACCCCACATGGCACGTCCTGAGGTCCATTGGGCGGCTCCTTGTTCTTAGGAGCCCTGCTCTAGAGGGAGGTTCTTTCCTTATTTGAAATGTGGGAATATTAGTGCGCACACACACACACGCACACACACGCACACACACGCACACACACACGGACACACACATGCACACACGGACACACCCGCACCCACGTGCACACACAAACACACACTCGTGCACGCGCACACGTCCTTGAGCAGAGCATGCGAGGACCGCTGAGAATGCAGAAACAGAGGAGTGACACGCACACAGGTAGCTAACGGGAGGGAGCTGCCAGCCTGGGGGGACAGGCTTCATTGTGAGCCCAGATGGGAAGGAGGAGACTGAATGGCAGCTGGGAACTGAGGATTTCTGGAGAAAGCCTGTGGGTGATGTCCCTAAGGAAGGCCTGGATGTGTGGGCAGGAGCCTTCTGAGGGGAGGGAGCAGCAGTGTGGGGGCAGAGGTCACTGGGGCTCTCTGGATGCCTTGCTGGGTGTCTGGGGGGGTGGGTCAGTGCGTGGAGATGAGCCCCGAGAGGAGCCCCGAGAGCAGGAGGTGTCTGAAGGCTCCGCGGAGAGCTGAGATCGGAGCCCTGAGGCAGGTGCTCGGGCCTGTAACCCGCAGCAGGTCCGCCAGCAGAGCTCCGGTACTGAACACAAATAGCCGACTCATTTTTCAGCAGCGGCTAAGGCCCAAGGAAATGCAGGTTTGCTTCGGGAAGTGCACATATCTTGACTGAAGCCGGACACCTGAGGGCCTCTGGTCCAAGGTTGGATCGGGCCATCCAGGGAATGTTTTAGGCCTTGCAGGCCCCGTGGTCTCTGCAGCTGCTCACCTGGGCCTGGGCAGCAGGAACAGGGCCCGGGTGGGTGGGTGTGGTTGGACCCAGTAAGTTCTCTACTGAAACAGCTGCCGCCCCTGGGCACGCCTCTCGGACCAGCTTCTGAGACTGACTGTGCGCGTGGGTCGCCGTGGTCACTCTGTTGTGCGAGGTCTGACTCCCAAGGCGACACCAGCAGTGCAGACACAGGCGATTCGGACGCTGCTTCTCTCCACACCCGCCCGGGAGCAGGGGCTTTGGGCAGCTCAGACGCACCTTCCTCCACAGCGTGTGGTCCTAGGAGTAGCATGGACGCTCCAGAGCACCCCGAGCTGGGTGATGCCCCCCTGCTGCCAGTGCGGTGCCCTCTGGCCTCTGCTCCCTGGTGGTGCCCAAACCTGTAGCTAATCCGAGAGCCGTGCTGGCCGTGCTGGCCTGGGTGAGCGGTCCCCTGACTGTAGAGGCCCTAGTCAGGGAAAGGGCCCTCTCCTCTTCTATCCCTTCGAAGTGCTTAAAACAAAAATGTGCAGGGCGGTCTAACAGGTCTTTGATTTTTTCACTATTTTTTCACTTGATGGACACCGTTATGCCTTTTCTCTAAAATCTGCCACCTGGCAGCAACACCAGAAACCAGGTCCCAGGGCCTGGTGGGCTGTCCTGCGCCCTGGCCTGGCTCTCCTGGTCCATATGCCCACCCACCGGCCGGAAACCCCGGGTGCTGAGTCTTCATTACCAGGAAAGCCACCGTCCCTGCCCCGACGGAGCAGGGCTTCAGGAAGTGAGATGGTGAGCGTGAGGGTGATGGCCCGAGACAGTGATACAGGGAGCGCAGGTCTCAGGCCGCCCTGCTGCTGTGCATCCCTTTGTCCATTCGCTGCAGCTGCAGGGAAGGCGCCAGCGCCCACTGGGCGGACCTTGCAGGTGTGTGGCCCTGGACTTGGCAGTGGCCAGTGCGATGGTCTGAGGATGGACCACAGGAGAGGAAGTGAGAGCAAGTGACGGTGGGATCTGCCGTTAGTTCAGCTCCCGAGTGGCATCTGCATTGGAAAGTGAGGTTGCTTCTGAGCCCCTCAGCACCCCGCCTTGCCGCTTCGCCCCTCCCCCAGAGGCCCCACCACTGGCCCACAGGTGCCCTGGTTCAGGTATAGGTTCTTTTACATTTTTTTTTTTTATCCAAGTATAACATCTTTACGTTTCGCCACGTTGTCAGCAGGTGTGGCTTTCAGACCCCTGACGGCAACCCCTGGGGCACACACTGCGTTGCTAGTCTGACCCGGTGCCCACACCTCTGTACGTGCCGATGCGGGCGCACACCTGATTGAAACAGAAGTTCTGTGAGGCACCAGCTCCTGGTGAGGGGCTGCCTTTTGCAGTCTTCTGTGTTTTAAGGGAGTTGCGGGGAGTGGTCTCAACCCTCCGGCACGTGCACTGCCCGCTCGGCTGAAGGTGGAGACACCGGCCTGGCAAGGGTGCTCGGCCGTTGGAGACAGAACAGTAACTAGCGAACACTCCAGCCAGGCCCCAAAGATGTGAAGCAGCCCCTCAATCAGACCTGCCTGGCACGGCAATACACTTTCTTCTGAGCAATTCTGTACAAGTGCTAAGTGTGGATTATGACAGGTATACACACACCACTTCGCCCTGTACCTGGTACATGGTTTTCACATGGTAGGTGTTTAAGAAGTATTTGTTGGGCCGAACAGAGTAAATGAAGCCTTTCGGGAGAGCACAGCAGCTGGCAGTGCCTCTGAATTACCAGTCACCGTTTGGGCGGGGCCTGCGAAGCCGCCTCACCTGGGCGTCCTTAAGTGCAGCCGGGAGAAGTAGGCAGACCGCAGACCGAGACCCTGCCCCGCTTCCGGAGCTGGTGGTGTGGAGGAGAATGGCCCACACTGCAGAAGGTCTCGAAGACCACAGCACTGGGTCTGGAAGGGCAGGAGGAGGGACACAGGTGATGTCAGGGAGTATGTGGACATGATCTTAAATAACAAAGGTTAAAACATCCCTGGTTTTTAAAAAAAGGGGGATTATTCTTTTTAACTTCTCTCTTTTAATCCTCACCTGAGGATATTTTCCATTGATATTTAGAGAGAGTGGAAGAGAGAGAAAGACAGAGAGAAACATCAATGTGAGAGAAACGCATCGATTGGTTGCCTCCTGCAGGAGCCTTGACCAGGCCCCGGCCGGGAAGGAGCCTGCAACCGAGGTACGTGCCTTCGACCAGAATTTTATCTGGGACCCTTCGATCCACAGACCCACGCTCGACCCTCTGAGCCACACTGGCCAGGCCTTAATTTCTCTCCTAAGTCTCCCAGTCGTGTCAAGAAGGGCTCGCCAGGTGCTAGTGGTCTGTGGACATTGCTTGTCCTGCCAACACCGGGAGGGCAGGCCGGAGTCTTCGGGTAGGTGCTGGATCTAGCTAAACATTTTAATATTTTGTCTTTAGCATAATGATTTGTCTTGGTTTCATTTATTGATGGCACATGATAGTGGTTTAAGATTGTGGTTCTGACGTAAAGGTCTTCTGGAATTGTGTGAGTGTAGAGATGTGAGCAGTCTGCAGAGGGACGTGGAAGGAGCTCTTGATGCAGGTGCAGGCAGCGTGTGGAAACCCTGAGATGCAAACCGTGGCCGTGACAAACCCTCGTTGCCTTTCAGTGACTTCGGCTTCAAGATGAGTGAAGACCTGTTGCTAGAGGTTTGCGTGCCGGATCCTGAGTTCTCTGAGAAGTCCTATTCCCCTCCTGTGCCCTGCCCTGCGGGTTCCACTTACAGGAGAACGAGAGGGTACGTCTCACAGTGGTTGCAGGTCAGGGACTCGGGTCTACGCTGGGTCTGAGAGCAGCGGGTGCCTTTCGTACTGGAAATGCCCGACTTCTAAGGCGAGCAGGTGTCTTTTTAAAAAATCCTCATCTGAGGATATTTTTCCATTGATTTTTAGAGAGAGTGGGAGAGAGGGAAAGATAGAGAGAAACATCGATGTGAGAGAAACACATCGATTGGTTGCCTCCTGTACACGCCCGACCAGGGCCCAGGCTGGGGAGGTATGTGCCCTTAACCGGAATCTGACCCAGGACCCTTTGGTCTGCAGGCCGATGCTCTATGCACTGAGCCAAACCAGCTAGGGCTCGGCAAGCAGGTTTCAAGTAGCTCGGGCAATATTTAAAGTTAGGATGTTGGCAAACTCTTCCATCCGCAGTGAGAAAAAAGGGCAAGTCTGTAAGGTCCTCTACAGCTTTACCTGTATCTGAAGTCACACGTTTCAGCACGGCACATCGTCAGAGGAGTTTGGGGGAAATGTGTGTAAAAGTTGTGTGCAGAAGAGCACTCCCGTTTGTCTGAGCTGCTCCTGATTCCAAGCATCGCTGGGCCTGAGGGATCAAGCAGCCCCTCCTGTTCCGTGAGGAAATGAGCAGATGAACCCGCTGTGTATGCTGGGAATGCGTTCCAGTCACAGAGCCTTTAAAAAATATATATATATTTTTATTGATTTCAGAGGGGAAGGGAGAATCATTGATTGGCTGCCTCCTGCACGCCCCCTACTGGGGATCGAGCCCGCAACCCAGGCATGAGCCCTGACCCGAACGAATTGTTCCCCAGACCCTTCAATCCGCAGGCCAATGCTCTCTCCACTGAGCACCTGGCTAGGGCTACGGAGCCTGGATGGCTGTTCTCTGACGTGTCTCACCTCTTGCTCTTGGGTTGGATTGACAGCTATCGGAAGATTTCCGGGGACACGTGCAGTGGAGGAGATGTCGAAGCGCGACTGGAGGGAGAGCTGGTCCCGTGCCCCGTGGCAGGTAAGGGGCAGGGCTTCCCTTCGGCTTCTTGAGCCGTTGTTGGAATGTGGTGATGACCCCACAGCCTGTCTTGGTTCTCCCGACCTCGTAGAGAGAAATAATGGAGTTAGTGTTTCTCAGAGCTTCCTAAACTTGGACCCAAACTCAACTTATTGTAACCGTATGACTTCACAGGAATGAAAAGTATTTTTGAAGGAAATCCCCTTTGCTCATTGAAAAACGCTCACTCAGCATCTGCTGTGGTCCAGGCATGGCGGGCGAGCGGCGCCCGGCCTCTTGTTCCTTGACCTGCTTGTCAGAGCTGATGGGAAAGAGGCTTTGGGGAAGTAGCTAGTGGTCTCTCTTATTTTTGTATTGCTTATTATAAATAATATTGTAATGGAGTTTTACACATTTCAATGTGCTTTTCCATGTGTTGTCATTTTAATTCCTGAAACATAATTAGCTCCATTTTTAAAAAATATGAGGAAGCATGTTCAGAGGAGAGGATGGAATGACTTTCTTCAAGGCCACGCACCTGGTCAGTGACAGAGAAAAGCACACTCTCAGCCATGCTCTTGTGACCGCCCACGTGACTAGGGAACGTGCTTCCCGTGAGCACATGCATGCTAAAAACTTCTTTGGCGTGTGTGCACACGCTATACGTGTGTTCCAACATGTTTAAGTTGATTGAGCGGTGATGGCACACGTTGAGGTATTTGTGCTATCACATGAAGTTATCCCTTTGCAAAGTGTTCATCCGGGCATCATTTCCTCCTTCACGCTCTTTCCGGTTGTCTTCGTGGAAAGCTTCCTCATTGGCCCTGAGCCCTGCCTCCTGCTCAGGCCTCAGGGAAGGTGATAATTGGCCTGGACTCCCACCCGCAGGTGGTGTCTAACTGAGCAGCCAAGTGCCAAGCAAATCCCGAGAGAAGCCGGCGTGTGTGCCAGCAGGGAGCGTGGCCTCTCGTTGGCTCACTGCTTGCCTGCTCGCCCTGTCTTTTGCACGCTTAGCTCATTTGGCCTTTGATTGAATCTTCCATCATTGCCAGCGATCAGCATGCCTCACTGTGGAGACGGCTGAGGAACAGGCTGCAGCGGGTCTCACCTGGCGGGCTCTGGGCCGATGCAGCTCACTCAGTGGGCTTAGTGATTGCTCCGGAGGAGCTGGAGTGCATACTTTTATAAGAAATACTAGAGGCCCGGTGCACGAAATTCATGCACGAGGGGGTTCCCTCAGCCCAGCCTGCACCCTCTCCAATCTGGGACCGCTGGCTTCTAACCGCTCACCTGCCTGCCTGCCTGATCACCCATAACCACTCTGCCTTCTTGCCTGATTGCCCCTAACCCCTCTGCCTGCCTGCCTGATCACTCCTAACTGCTCCCCTGTTGGCCTGATTGCCCCTAACTGCCCTCCCCTGCCAGCCTGGTCGCCCCTAACTGCCCCCAATGCTGGCTTGGTCACCCCCAACAGCCCTCCGATGCCAGCCTGGTCACCCCCAATGGCCCACCCCTGCTGACCTGATCTCACCCCCAATTCCCTTTCCCTGCCAGCCTGATTGCCCCTAACTGCCTCTGCCTCAGCCCCCACCACCATGGCTTTGTCCGGAAAGAAGTCGGATGTCCAGAAGATGGCTGGTCAACCCAGTCTAATTAGTATATTACCCTTTTATTAGTATAGATAGATTATATAGAATAGGCTTGCTTAAATGGGGGGGCGGGGAAGCCTTTTTCAGCAGGAGGAGATGCTCTTGGCAGACAAAAATACATAATCCCTATATCTGGACTGATAGCCAACCATATGCACTATACTGCCAAACTGGTCATTAAAAATTAAACTGCTTTCTTATACCTTACACCAAACAGCTGTTGCCCTTAAAACTCCTCCTCCACCCTCACCTTAGGTTCTGCCTTTGCAGTTCACCCAGATTAGGTTCTGATTAGTTGGTTCTATGCCAGTCAGCATCAAAAGCTCCGCCTCCTAGGCAGCCATTGGCTCCTTGCAGTTCACCCAGATTTGGTTCTGATTGGTCGGTTTCTATGCCAGTCAGTGTCAAAAGCTCCGCCTCCTAGGCAGCCATTGGCTCTTCTGGGAAATCCAGAATGGCCCCACTGACAGCTGTCTCTCTCTTCGGGCCTATCTCCAGGCCTGATCTGCAGCCTCTGCAGCAGCTGCTGATCAGGCCCTGCCTCTCTCTCCGGGACTCTCTCTGGGCTTGATCTGCAGCCACCAGGCAGAGGCAAAGTCATTAGGTCTCCGGCCCAGCTTGGGCCAGAGGCTAATGACCTCGCCCTGCCCTCCTCACCCCGCCTGCCCACCGCCATCCCTTGCTGTGATAGGAGCCTGTGGGCACCAGGGGAAGGACCGAGAGGTGCTCCATTCACTTCCTGGTGACCGGTTGTCCGTCTGGTCGTTTAGGTCGTGATGGCCTTAAGCTATTATTAGTATAGGGAATGGAATGGGGGGAATGGAATGGGGAGGGAGTGGAGTGGGGGGGAATGGAATGGGGGGGTAATGGAGAGGGGGAGAATGGAATGGCGGGGAATGGAGTGGGGGCCACCAGGAACTGTGCAGACATTCAGCAAAGGGACTGGAGTTTGCACTGGGTCTATCTGCAGCACATTGTCCAGATGGGCGCTTGGACATTTTTAACCCTTTTCGGTCCAACCTCGAGGCTGACTCGACAGACCAGGCACTAGGAGCAGGTCCAACGTCGAGCAATAAGAACATTAAAAAGTTCAACATTCAGTCCTGTCAATTAATTTGGACCAGACTGTTTGAATTCAAAAAATAACATCGGACCGCAAAGGGTTAAATATATTTTTATTGATTTCAGAGAGGAAGGGAGAGGGAGAGAGATAGAAACATCAATGATGAGAGAGAATCATTGATTGGCTGCCTCCTGCACGCCCCACACTGGGGATCGAGCCTGAAACCTGGGCATGTGCACCTGAACCCAGGACTTCAGTCCCCAGGCAGAGCTCTA